TTTACTTACACTTACTAACGTGACTACTGTTTATTTTTGCTATTTAATATTTCTTTTGTAGACGCTGAGTTAGCAAAAATATTCTCTAAATATTATTTTTCGTATTGATTTTTTTACCCATTGTTCAATTAATACAACAGTAACTTTTTTATTTTTTTTAACAAGTACAGATTTACGGGTTCAAATATTATTGTAATTTTGTTNTTAACAAGTACAGATTTACGGGTTCAAATATAATTGTAATTTTGTCGGATTTTCAAATATTTTTTCTAAAAATCAACTTATCGTTTTTTAAGTGTATAATATTCATTTACATAGACTTTATATCATACTTCAAATATTGTACATATATTGTGTTAGAAACAAGCTGTATCAAATTTTAGTTTTTTTTAATTTAAATTTTACCATTGTTTATTAATATTTCTTTCATTATTTATCAAGTATAGTTTTAAAATAACGCATTCAATCATAGTTACAGTTTTATTGATTATTCAACAACATGTAATATTTTTTTATAAATCCATACTTTATTATTATCATTTTAAAGTATACAATATTCATTTACATAAACTTTATATCGTAACTCGAAGTTTGATCTTTACGTCCGTTAGAAACAAGTNAACTCGAAGTTTGATCTTTTCGTCCGTTAGAAACAAGCTTCAGATTTTCGTCAAATCCTTTTGCCAAATCTTCTCGAGTAAATTGAAACCTAGACGGTAGATAAACTTGAAAAGAGGGTTCGTCATCTAGTTTCACTTCAGCTACCGGTGTTTGAGTGGAATATTTCGATTTTACGACGAATAGACCCAAAACCTTATATTGAACACCAACTTTAAGATCAGATACACACTTCCTACGTTTATTTTGCATACCATTTAACCATTCTTTATTAACTACATCTACTCATCTAAAAATCATTGATTTAATTATAACAAAAATCACAGTAATAGGCTAATGTAAATAGTTATTAGTATCATTTAATTATCATATTAAAAATAAAAATGTCATTGATAAGAAAATATATTTTAGTTGTTTTATAATAAATTTGAAAAATCTTTAAAAACTAACATTAAACGTTATTAACATTAGCAAAAGTTATCATATCAATAACAGTATACGTTTGTTCAGCACAACTAAAATTAAAATTTTGAAAAACTTACTTTTTTTGACTATTGGTTGTTTTCGAAGTATGTTTAACTCTAATTGTAAAACAATTTTTGCACTTAAGTTTTAACTATAACTTAACAGTTGACAAACAAAAGAAATATACTGAAATTACTCGAAAATCAGTGTATTTATTCTCACGTCATGACAATAAACTTATAAGTCATAGAAGAGGGAGGAGGCGCTGATCTCGAAAATTATCGAGAGAAATGGTAATTTAAGTAATGTTAAAATGAGGCGCTAAAATATGTTATCAAATATAAAATGAGGCGCTAAAATACGTTTTATCAAATAGCTTCATTGATAAGCATTACATACACATTACATAACTATAATGTGATAACAGGTAAATGAGGCGCCAACGAGAGGCGCTAGAATATGTTATTAAATATAAAATGAGGCGCTAAAATACGTTTTATCAAATAGCTTCATTGATAAGCATTACATACACATTACATAACTATAATGTGATAACAGGTAAATGAGGCGCCAACGAGAGGCGCTAAAATGAGGCGCCAGCGAGAGGCGCTAAAATGAGTATATGGGGAGAGGCGCTAAATGAGGCGCTAAAATGAGGCGCCAACGAGAGGCGCTAAAATGAGTATATGGGGAGAGGCGGCCCCATATACACACATCAAGCGTCTTATTATTTTCAACTATTTTTACTAAAATAGATTTATTTTGGTCAGAGACTTTAAGGATATGATAATGTTGTTCATAAAAAAAACAAAATATTAAATTTTTTTTTTGGGCTAAATATCTTTTCCATGTCACTATTTCAATTATTAGTTATGTAATACATGANCATGTCACTATTTCAATTATTAGTTATGTAATACATGAATGGTCTAATAATCGATTAATAATTACACAAAAATATGTATAAATAAATATTTATTAAATCTTAACTACATTATGATCATCTACTATGGCCATATACAAACACAAAATTGTCAAAATATCAACTAATGTACATAAATCTTAGTGTGATGTTTTTGACTAACAATGAAATAAAATCTTTAAGACTAGTATTAATATTGTATCATTTTTTTTTTCATATAGAGACAAGTTTAATTAAGAATTTCAGGCAGTAGTTCCATGATATAACAACAGTAATTGTTAAAGTTATCCTTCTATGCCATTAATTTTAATAATGTGTGGTTATTTTAATGGTCCTTTTAATACAATTTTTGGTTTGGGGTTCCGTATTGAGATGTTTAACACTGGAATATGAAGAAGTACAGTTGTTTAATCTTTGACATTGAACTGCATGCCTATTTAATGTATTGCCAGTGTTCAAAGATAAATCTAAAACCTTAAGTGAACTATTCCCTAAAAAATCAAGTAATATTTAATATCATTTATTCGTGAATAACATCATAAAAATAATTGAATTATTACTAATATTATTATTTTTTGAAACATTGTTCCTTGTTGGTATCTTAGACACAAATTTCTTGTTTGTGTTGTTTTGTTTTGATGATACCATAGAGGTATCCACATTGTGAACGCCAGCTGCTAAATGACCTCTATGTCCTGACTCACCATTAAAAACTTTACTACCTGGGATTTTAACAGGGATCGCAGACACGAATTTCACTTTATTCAATGCAAGATTGACTTTCGCTGTACCATAACGCGAAGAAGACTTTGAAGTAACCGAATTTGTAATTTTTTTAACGTCCGACTTAGGAACGAATGGAAAGGATTTATAGGACAGTAAGTTCATATCGGATTGATTTTTTAAAGTGTCTAACTGACTTATAGGCAAAGACTCGTTATTTTTATCATTACCGAAGACAGAGTTTTTTTTAGACTCTTCTTTAGTTGCCTCGAAAGAGTCAATTTTACGAATAGTCCGTATCCTTTGAAGTTTTTCACTAAAAGCGTCTGCTAATACAGACAATACAATTTCATCGTTGTTATAAAATTGATGACGCCGTTGTTTTATTTCTTCATATTTTAGCTTGAATTCATTTATGATTGTGTTGGTAAAATTGTTCGGTGCATTATCAGTAGACGTCGTTTGTGTGTTTACGATTATTTCAGGAGTTTCAGCAGATTTTTTGTTTAAATTTGTCCGAGTTTCAGTAGCTGATGTAATTTTACCTATAAGCATTTATTAGAAAATCATTTAAAAAAATATTTACCTGTATTTTGATCCTTTAATTTAATTTTGTTGACTTTTGTCAACGCTTTGGTTTTTTAACGCCAATGGACATAGAGTTCGGTTTGTTGGATGAATTGCTCTGTCTATTTATTGGCACGGGTAACTTGGGTGATTTAATGATTTTTAGCTACAAAAATGTAAAATTAATATGAATAACTCGAGTGTAGTTATTCTGAAATGATCTAGAATTTTCGTGATGGATATACTAACACAAAATGCATACACATACGAAGATTCTCGTACATATTAAAATGAAATACTTAAAATGTCCTTTGTATAATATATAGGAATGTGGCAATACTGTAGTTAACATTTATCAGTTATAGAACTGAGTTAACAAGTATGTCACACAGTGCGACATACATGTATTATATGTAAATATATTAAGTGTATATAAAATAAATATTGTGTCATTTTTCTTTAATATAAAATCAGTGTTTTCATTATATTTCAAAACACTAAAGAGATGACCTCGATGAACGAAAATTAGGCGTTCACGACACACGGGGCGTTTCGGCCAGTATATATTTACACCATCGACAAGCGATTTGTACCCGTTCTCATCAACCCGCTAACACACACACACACATACATTGATTTTCTCCTCTCCTTTCCATCATTCTGAGCCTTAATCGGGATAAAGGTAACGATAAAGAAGAAGCATCCTACTAAAACTGATTTAGACAGATTAAAAAATATACTAAAGTCATCAATCCAACCCATCAACATTAGCGCAAAGCATGACTGTCCCTTTCATACAAACAACCGGAGTGTCTAGAATTAGCCAAAGCCCTAAGGTTAACATAAGAAAAATAACTAATAGCTAAGCAGGAATTTTAAAAAATAGTATACTACAATAGATCCTTATCAAAACGTACCTACATACCAAGAGACTTTGAAACCTGTACCCGTGTATATCAAAGAATCGATGCTATAAGACCAATGCTAACATATACACACAAAAAACTTAAAGCGTTAAATAGATCACTCAAGTCGTTCGATCTTCAAACCAATGGTATTACTAAATCAATATCAATTGATGTAGTTATATATGTAGATAGTGATGTAATGAATGAAATAAGCTAAAATCTTTGTAATGGATAAGCTATACAAAATGCATATACGCACGAAGGTTCTAGATAATTTCACAATTGCTACATTACTGCATCCTGGAGATCGAACCCGAGACCCCGTACGCCGAAACATACGTTCTTACCCTTAAACCAGGCCAGCCCCATGTAAATATATTAAGTGTATATAAAATAAATAATCTGACATATTTCGTCAACATAACATCTGTGTTTTAATTATATTTCATTAATAATCGAAACACTATAGACGTAATGATACTGTGTACTTAAATTTGTATGTGTATAACATTACTTATATCTACTCAATATTTTGTCTTGTCATATTACCT